ATACCTCGCTATTCTAAAATTCTTTTCTAATTATGTTTAGAGACTCCAATAGTAGTTCCGAATCTTAGGAAAACAAATAACCTGATCCTTAGGAAATAAACCGTCATTTTAAGAATTAAACTCACGCAACGCCTAAGTAGAATCCTTATTTCCAAAAGTTCTAGTACTCTTAGAAAAATTTTGTATGTAATGGGTATGGTCGTAAGAGTTATCCTCACACCCAACTACTAGCAAATTTTTAATACGTTAATTATCAAAGTAGTACAACAGAAACGTGATGAACCACAATCACCACACCTAAGTGATTTTTCTTTTTAAATCAAAAAGAGTAAATGGATTATATGAGAAAATGGTGACTTCTATCGTAAGTCCATACTTAAGAGGAGTCAGATTTTTTGAGAACTTGTAGCATACTTGTGAGAATTAGAATTAAACGTAACTACTTGCAGCAAAACTAATGATTAAATCTGCTACTAAAAGAATTCCTAATCACCCCCCAAAAATAATCATTAATTTCATAACTCTCTAAGCCCATTTCACCTAGTCACATTGTAATTGTTAAAAGTTAAAAAACTAATGAATTAAATTAGACACCTGAAATTTAAGGATTGATATGGCTTAAAAAATAATAATTTTTAACTATACTAACTATTTTTAAGACAATATGAGTAAAACACCATTCCGTTTAAACTTGCAAATAGAGAAAGACGCCCTAGAAACTAATTCAATGAAGTGAAATTGAGAAAAATGTGAGTATAATTTCACCAAATATATTTTCACCCAATAGAAATATTGTAACATCCCCATTTGATTGGAGTTGTTCCTAAATGACATTCCTTATGAAATTAAATTCCAAAAAGAGAGAAAACAAAGTCTCTAAAGATGTGTTCTGATCACAGAATCATTACCACGACAAAATTTTAGAAAATTAGCTCCTTTACACTAAGGAAAACATAAAAATAATTAGGCATCAAAGACACCCTTTTAAACAAACGTACTTTTACATATAGGAATTAGAAAAAAAAATGAAATGAAAGATATCACAACCTAAAATGATTCTGTTGAAGAATATGTCATAATCAATCCAATCTGTTGACGAAAATGTCAATAGAATACATGGATGGGTATTTTAAGTTCTCACAGATAAAAATTTAAAAGATCAAATTTCTTAGGAGAAGAGGAGATTTCCACACAAGAGAAATTTCTCCAAATGACAGAAATTCCAATAGAAATAGACATTTCTCTAGTGAAAGAAAAATCTTTCCTAATAGAACATTTTTCCAAGTAAGGAGATGAGTGGTTCTAATTCCTTGACGAACCATTTGGAGTACAAAATTGTTGTAAGAGAGGGAAATTTGTAATACCCAGCAAAAAAAACCTATGGAATATATATATGTATATATATATAATTAAACAAAAGAAAAAAATTAAAGAAATAAAAAAAAAAAACCCCAGAGTGTACTTTGAGAGTAGAAAAAGAAAACACGTTGCCATATATAATATATATATGTATATATATAAGTAAATAAAAAAATAGAAAAAAATAAATAGAGAAGAGAGAGGATGGAGTGGCATCGACGGGAAAGAGAGAATGGTCGCACGGTGTTGCGCGATGCTGCAATCGAATGAGAAAGAAAGAGGGGAGGAATCACCATCAGTTAGAGAGAGAAAAAGAGGGGAGACAGAGAAAGAAGACACGCGATGGGTAGAGAAAGAAAGAGAGAAGAAAAAAAAAGACGAAGAAGAAGAAGAAAG